GTTTGCGGAGGTCCGGTCCGGGAATTTTTTGACTGTCCTTCGCAGAAAGATGGTTTCTCAATCTCATTATTTGCAACGGTCTGTTCATGTGATTCTTGGAAATGAATGTTGGGGTCTAGATCATACAGAACAATTGTATGAGCGAAACTGCGTTTCTCTGAACCTCTGACGGAAATGATGAAGACTTCAAAGCAAAAACGTATCCCTCCTATTTCCTTTCCCAGTCCTTCTGCCCAGGGGGAAATTTTGTATTCGGCAGGAATTTCACTGTTGAACGAGAGCGGTCGTTTGAAAGCCAAATGAAGTGCACATGATTTCTAACGGTATTGTTTGTGTCTTAATTAAATTTGATGTATATTTGTTGTACCTACAAATATACTATCCGATTTTAAAGCTTCTTAGACAATTTATTACGTATATATTTTTAATTTTAATATTATTAACATGTTAAAATAGAGGATACGATGAGCAGGGTATGTAGTACGCATCCGTGTGTAATTCTTACTCGTTCTGTCGGCTTGATTTTAATTATTTTTATGTGGTACTGGATACGAAAAATTTGTGGATGATGTCAATCAATCATTCGATCGTTTAGCCGAGAACCTTGTGCAGAGGCTGCGTCTAACACTGGGTCGGATATTTGTCCTTTCGTCCTAATCAAAGGCTTAAACTTGCCGATAAAATCTTAGCTTCCCGCTCGCAAAGAGCTAGGTATCACATAATTCATTCGGCGGTCATGTGGCTTTAAATTGAATACGTAAATATGGTGAATATTATGGCTATTTGTCTGTGTTCTTTCCTGGTGTTTTGTCACGTCGAGTAAGCTTGGTAGATGATCTTTAGTTATGAGTGAATAAGGATTTGGAAGGTAGGCGAAGTTCCCTGTCTCATGGTACAGTCACGAAAGTCTACTGAGGGAAACTACGAGAAACACGATTAGAATACACGTCAGCCCAGGCAAGATTGCGCCCTGGTGATGTGATATTAAAAACATTCTTTTAGAGCGTAGTTAACTTTCAGTGCTTTAATAACGTCTATAAATGACATCTTGAATGCTTTGAGATTTTTGTTTTGGGAGGTATGTGAATAAATTTTAGAAAAAAATAAAACCTTGGGTAAAGGCTTTTGTTTGTATAGGGATATAAAACAATAATATGACTTTCAATTTGATAGTGATAACTAATTCAGTAATGGAGATTGTCATGTTAAATTTTGTGTGGAGATACGCTATTGGTATACTTGCAGAACTATACAAAATGTTTCTTTAAGTTTTAAAAATTGCAAACATGAAGTCAAAGTCAGTGTAAAATTATGATCTTATACCTGAAAATAAATTAAATGAAAATAGGGATAATCTTTGATTGTGGAAATTCTGTTCATAAATTGTCACCAAACTCTGTTATTATTAGCTTATCGTTCTCACTATCAAACATGTAAAATATTGTAACATAAGAAGTCGTCATAATTTATGCACAGAATTTTTTTTGCTTTGTCTTAACTTTATGAGGAACAATCCTGAAATACAGGTAAACACTTTACATTTTTTTAAAAACAAAGAACAGAAAAATTAAATAAATTATATTTTCTTTGTGTCTTTAAGTAACACTTTATATAATAAAGAAGAGTAAGGGGTTTGAAGACAAGGTGCTGTTCTTCTGTTCCTGTAGAATCAATAATACAGTGTTGCCGTCTGGTAGTAAGAATGTGTATGGAACAAGACCTTCAGTCCTTTGTTTGCTGCCTTTTGTACTCACAAACTAAACAAAGGTCTTCTCTACTGTGAACCCTTTGTAAGTTGTGACTTTGTACGGCTGAACCAAGTAACTAAACTGGAGTAGACATATTTATTTTTCTGAGGCGGTACATGGGAACCTGCTCTTTTGCATACGTCACTTGTCAACATGTTTTGATATTCAAGATGCTTAAGATTTATATTTTATGATTTGATGAGTTCTTTGTACTAAGGACAATTTTTTAAATTATGTTTATGGAGTTCGATGTGAGTTTCACGCAAATAGTTACGTCGTTGCAGCGAATGCGTCCCCGAAGTAACACGGATAAAACCTAGTTCCACAAATTCCATTACGATCCAACAGTTGTAAGAGATGAACAGTAAAACTATTAACAAAACTTAGTACGACTGACAAAAGAAATCATTGTTCTAATGTCACTCAAACTCGCATACTCTATTTTAATTTATTTACAGTGTATTTAACGACTCTATTTCAGTAACTCAGATTATATAGCGTCGAATTAGAGGATGGAAGTGAACAATTGTAAAGGATGTGGAAGGAAGTGGTCGTGGCCTAATTTAAGGTACTATCACGCCAATTGCCAGGAGTGCCATACTGTGTTAGTTCACTGATTCCTTATTCTTGCTGTTGTGCTGTAAGGAACAAACACAATGTCAACCGACTTAAGCCTTTGACTTCGGTGTATTTGACACAGAACACCCCAAAATGTTTCAAAACTGTCGTGCTACATTCGACTTACAAATGTCATGCGGAATCCGACAAGGAATTCCATTTGATGCCAGTGTTTACGTCAACACAGGATATATTACCATATCTAATTTCAGTCTTTTATTTTCTGAATCTATGATTGCCGGACTGTCTGATATTCGATTCCAAGTACTTTACAGAAGTGTCTGATTGAGTCAGACTTAGGGCCCGAAGTAATTTATGCAGGACGATGATGGAAGCAGCAAGGACCTCTTAAACGTTGGTAAACTTCTACCAGAATACAAGGCACTACGACCCACCAGACATAAATTTTTATGCTCACCGCTGTGAGAACCTTATATCCTAATTCATACAAGTGTCAGACCGAGTCCAACATTAGACCGGAAATGCTTTACAAAAGTTTTGGTCTAAGACTGCCACTTGAAAGAGATCGTGAGAACTTCGCCGAGTGGCAGGCAAAGGGCCTGATATTGTCTGCGCTCTACAGTCGCTAAGAATCAGAGATATAACACAAGCAATAAGCAGCGCCCTGGACAAGAAGTGGCTTTTGTGCGTTATATAAAGGTCTTAGTCAGTGGAAACAGACATATCAATCACCTTTACTTCTCTGGTGATAACGTGAAAAGAAATTGCACGGATGAAGGGAAGTCTCGTATTATGCAAGAACGTGCGAGAACCTTCTCAATAACGTTTTGAATCTGTGTCATTCCTATCTCCATTATTCACCCATATAATTTGAATATTATCATATTATTAAAATCAGTTCATTTCTCACTTCCTCTTTCTTGTGTAAATGGATTTATGTTGATTTTCTGGGCAACATTAAATTTAAAAATGTGGAGTGATATCTAGTGGGATAATAATCGTACCTAAGTTTATAAGAACCCGTCAAATTGTTAAAGTGTTATGAAGCCTTGTAGGTACCTTAAATTAATAAATAATGTCTTGGATATGTAAATAGAAGCCTTTTTTCTCGCCATAGTAGCGAAATTTAACCTAGAAGTTAACTTATGCTTATGTACAAAATCTGTAAGTCGTCGCTAAGGACTTAATCCCTACATCGCAATCAAATAAACATTTTACATTTGCTGCTGTTGGACCAGTAATTAATATGTGCATACATTCAGACTCGGGACTTCATTCATTTGATTATTCCGCCATAACATAACTGCTTGTCATTAAATTGGGTTATTATTAATTCCATGCACAAAGTGTTTCAGATAAGATTCTGGCTGTTATCAGAAAATTTATAGGGAATGACTACGTTCTTCAGTGTTGTGACGCCGTGAAAGATACGAGCGTTTCGGAGAAACATAATGTTCCCAACTTAAGGGCTGTATGATATTGAAATTTTGCACGTATTTAATGAATTAAAATTATTTTTGCTCCCTCTTCATATTTTCGTTTATATAGTATTACTGATTACCGAGAATTTGAATGCAGATGTTTGATTAAGTAAATAACTTTTCATTAACATTTTTATTTACTTTTAATTATGATGTTCATCTGGGTTTTGGCGGCGTGTTGGCGGCGTGTTGGCTGGTCGGTAGATGCGGAGAAACGTTGGCATCTACCGACCAGTCAAAATGACGCCAAAATCCAGAAGAACATGCCGTCATAACCGTGGAAACCGCAGATCTCACATTTACACATTCTGTCTTTCCGCATTTATAAAAATAAGTGCTTACTACAAATGCGAAGAAATTTAACGCTAAAAAATAAATGAATATCCTGATAATGGACATACCTATACATCCTTTCTGAGTCGCAGAAAGGATATTTAACTCTGTGAATTGTGAACCAAACATGTAACATGTTCAAGAAGGCGACAGTCTTATGCAGAAGACTGTTCTATACTACTATAAATATTTTAAAATTTTCAAATTTAATTAACTCTGGACAAATTTCATACACCTACCTCATTAAATTTTGATTCTTTAAAAACAGTACGCAAAACTGTTATCCCATTCAAACTGCTGTCCTGATGGTGTTGAAATGATAAACCTAAAACCACAATATTATTAACGTACATGTGATTTTCGGTTGTTAATAAAGCAAATACAGACAGGTTTTTGAACTCTGCTTTCAATTTTTACTGACGTTGAAACACCAGGGGCGGAAATAACAGCAGCTCTGTGCACATTCTGTTTTGAGGGGGTGCGAACTTGACTGATGTTTCGTCTATCAGATTGTCACTCTGTTCATATAATTCGTAAAACCAACACACAATCACAATTAAAAATCAGCGATTTTAAAAACTGGTGTATTGAATTCTGATTCGTGTTATCCAGTAATTGCACCCATAGAAATTTTATAACATCGAATTAGTCGCTGGAATGAGAATACAGGTCTATGTTTCCGTATAAATAATGCTTTAAACTGAACAATTTAATAAGTACTGTTATTTTAATTTTTGGAAATGAGTGGGCTTACTTTGGTTTTGGAAACAACTGATACATTGGAATAATAAGGTATTTTTTATTTATATTGCTGTTTCATTTGAAATATGATTACAGGTTTTATTACAGTGCGTTCACAAATGTTGTACTTCAGGAGAAAACTGTGTTACTATTAAAATCATTGAATAAAACATTGCGTATTTGTACATCAATACAATTAACATGTTTCAAATTTGTACAGGAAATTACTTCAATACCAAGACACGTGTTTTATTTATTCATTACACCCTGAATATGGAGTCAGTGACATGTCTGGTTGTCCATATGTTTCTTTGCTAAACCATTTGACCGATTTTGAGTCAATTTCTTATCGATTGTCTATCCTGAAAATAACCGCCTTTTTATGTTGATTTCAGAAAAGCTGTTGTTGCTAGGCTTGCGTTCTGTATTTCAGTGATGAACAATTGCTTCGCTGTCATACTAATCAGCCATCCTGCAACCGTCCTGATTTCAGCTCGTGGTCCGCGAGATGAACCGTCTGGGCATGATGGTGGACTTGTCCCACGCGTCGGTGCGCACCATGAAAGACGCTCTGGCCGTCAGTAAGGCCCCCGTCATGTTCTCGCACTCTTCCGCCTTCGCGCTGTGCAACTCCTCCAGGAACGTTCCAGATGACGTTCTGAAACTCGTGGTAAGTTATTTCGTGGAAAATGCCGAACTATGAGACAACTGGGAAAGCGCATTGAAGTGGCTGGACAACGACTTGACGGTCGTTACAAGCTTTAACCGGATGTAAATTAATCAATCAATTAATTAATAGCTAGGTAAAAAGTGAATGTGTGTACTATGTCTGTAATTGTAATAATAATGCAATTAACTGCCTTTACACCGAGACAAAATAAGTCAGTGATGAAGCCCCCATCTTAAGACCGAGTGTTAAAATATGACATTTCTCTATGTTTATTTGGGTTTAATTTTAAAATTAGCGGATATTTGATAGTGATGTTATTTATCATTTTACAAATATCGAAGTAAGTTTTAATATGCATTATACAGAATGATTTAGAAGTTCTTGTACATTGTTAACAACACAAATATATTTCTCACCGTAAACTTACCATTACAACACCTAACAACTGGCTCGCGAAGAGATTTCTGAAACGCCCTGTATGTTCGTATTTAAAAATATTTGAGTCTTGAAAGAAATAAATGTTTTGTTTTTGTTTTAACGTATAATGTTGGAAATAAAAAGTACGTCTTTTATTTCTTTTCGAAACGTTTATTTAAATTACTTTTTTGGATGTAGCAATCTCGAGACGACGTTACGATAACTTTATGAACTAGTGTTCTATGAAGTGAAAGAAAAAGATAAGGTGTTCTGGCATTCATTGCCATCAGCCAATGAGAAAACAGAAAAACATGTTACTTGGAGCGGAAGTAAAATGGAAACTAATTAAGGGATATCAAACGTGTCTATTACAGTGAACATATAGATAAATGATGTATAAAATAAATTTATTTTTCTGACATTGTTTTAATAATCACAGAAACTACTTGAGGCACGTAAAGAAGGGGCATGTAATGACGTCCGTACAGCTCTCTGACGTCTGTTCACTGTTTGCGTTCTCAAAGGTCGGGTTTTATTGACGATCCGATTTCACGGTAAAAGCAGATTAAAACAACGAATTTACAGCTGCTCTGACTCGGATGCGTTAGCAATGAAAGGAATTTTGTAGGAAAAGTGTACTTAATTTTGAGTCACAAATGTCTTTGAAAGGGCATTCGATTCACACGACGTGAGGAAACTACGGTAAATCTTTAAAGAAATTTTATGCTCGTGTAGTCAGACCAGTTTGCAGCCTATAGGTCTTACTGCTCGTGTAGTCAGACCAGTTTGCAGCATGTAGGTCTTATAAAGCAAGTACTACTGAATAAAATGAGAACAAAATATTTTAATATATTGCAGTCTCAATCAACGTAAGAATACATGCATTTTACCAAGCAAATAATACATTTAAATTGATACACTGCATCATTTGTTCCAAAGTTTTATACTTCGAGTCTCCCTTGATGTGAATTAAAGTTTTGAGACCCCCAAGTTTGAAATCTGATTTAATAATATCAAAAAATAATGATTAATGCACATTAAGGTATCAATTAAGTACTTAAAATCAAATGTGGCCCTTTCATCAATCTACACTTACTATAATTAGACTTAGGTTCTGGACTTCCTATGGGACAACTGCTTTCAATTTTTGAAACGCAGTGCTACGAAGTTTATTTTTGTACATACGTTAATATATTTACATACGAATGAAGTTGTTAAATATTATCACAAGTTGTATAATCCTTTATCTGTTTAACAGGCCTTAAACGGAGGGATTGTCATGGTAAATTTCTACACGTATTTTATCACATGTAATTCTACGGCGACCATAACTGACGTCATAGGTGAGTTAAAATAAGACAAATATTATCAGTGTCTGTAGAATATTTCTAATTATTCTTTCAGTGCCAATATTCAAAGACATTACACCTTCGTGAATTATCATTAAATTGTTATCGGTAAGTCTATTTTCACGCGCACTGCCCACAGAACTAATGTCTTTTGGTGTAGTTCTTGTCTCTGCCACCAGATGTGTAGCACTTTAGTTTCATGATCGATCATTGGTCTAATATTTACTGGCACTCTGTACATTCTGACCAAAATTTTTAAGCTTAAAACCAGAAGTGTTGAAAGTCTACAACTAGCGTCATAATTCAGACTTTACCTTGGATTTTATTTACTTTCCATTAAGTACAATTATATATGCCAGGTGTGTATAAAGCAAACTTATTAACATGTGTGCTAAATTTGAAGAAAAACATGAATAAATAACATCTTCCGAGACATGGGACTGGGTTCGACGTCAAAACGAATGTGAAGACTACAATTCGCTTGGACACCCACTTTCGGCAGTTTTTAGATGGGTAGCATAGGAGACTAGCATTGTTTAGAAAGTCAAATATTCGATTTGCAGTCGTGATAGCAAGGTGCTTTAATGCATATATTTTATTCAGACAAATATGTTTAAAAACGTCCGTGTAAAATATATACCAGCAGTAACTAAAATGTATTTGTGATATTCGAAAGTCAATATGTAATTAATTTATACTTTTTTGCTATAAAGCCTAAGCAGTCAAGTGAAGTTTGTGAACAAGCGAAAAACAGCAGGAAATATATCATCCTCACTACCACTGTATTATTTATGCAGCATTTGCAAGACTATAAATACGAAGGAACCAGATATTTATTCTATCTTCTGTGATTATTTGTTTTTTCTTATCCTGATTTAACTGTTACGTGTTCGAATCTGACTGCAGACAATTTTATTATTAAAAAACACATTTGCAAGCGATTTTTTTCTTAATGTATACCATCTGATTATACAAAATATGAAGTAGCATGTAAGTCCTCGAAGATGGAGTTATCGTGTCATCTAATATGTACAGAGTCCTTGAGTTTTAGCCACGGATTGCATTCGTCTCGGAATGGACTCAGTTAGAGATTAAACGTAAGATTAATTCGAAGTACCTTCATCCCAAGGGTTCAGAGAGCGTCTGCTTGGTTTCCTTCCCCCCGTTCCACGTATTCTCGATGGGGCTCATACCAGTCCGTAGCTATGAGCTTGACATCTCTTTACCGCGATAGCGATTCTAGAGCCACAGCGGAATCAAGACTGAGAAGCGATGTTGTTCGAACTGGATTAGTAGACTACTAATATCTATTGTTGTATAAATGAATGCTCATTCGTCACACATTACTCTGTTATGACTGAGTTACATTACTCATTGTGGAAGTTCTCAGTTGTCATATTCCTGTTTGCTTCTTCGAATATAATTGATTAGATTCTGCATGTATTACTGTATGAGGTGTGTGTTTTATAGGGGACGTCGGCAGTTTAACTTTACTCCGCCCACGATTAAGTTCCAACCGACGGCACTAAATTCAAAAATAAATATATTTGTTAACGGAAATCATTACCTGAAGAGCGAAGTAAAAATTTATGTCGAAACATCTTTTTATTTGTGTTGTTTATGACAATATGCGTGCTGTGGATCACAGACCAAGTTTTCATTAGTGATCCAAAATGTAGAATTTTTTTTTGGTGTACTTGAGCGTAAGCGAAGAACATCTGTTCATGTCCGCTGCATTCTTTCTAGGAGGAAGGCTCTTTGCATGACCGAGGTCATCTGTGCGCAATAACGGCACGATGTTATTGTTAATGCTATTATGCTATTGTTCCTCTTAGTTCAATTTCAGGGACCAAGCCCCGTTCTGGGCACCCGCTGTTGAAACCCCAACGCCCATTCCAAAACAGAATATTTGAACCCTTGGGGCTTTACCGCCCACACGCACGATAGAAACTGGCCCCCCAGCGAGTTGCCCAAAGGGCTCTGCCCCATGGGCCACCTCTCATCTGCCTTGTGTACCAGGCCCCTCAAAGTTGTTGGTGTATAATTCAAGTTATACATAGTATATAATCTACATCTAAAATAAATTAAATAAATTACATTACTGATTATTCAGTGTTTATCATAAAATAATATATTTTTAAAATTTCACGTACCCCCTAAGATGTCTTCGCGTACCCCCGGGTGAATACCACTGTTTTAAAATGTTAGCGTACTGAATTTAAACAGACTTGCTCTGTTACGGAATATTAAATATACCTCAGACAATTAACAACATCCAACTTAATTTCAGAGTATTGATTTAACATTTGTTTTCAGTCTTTGTAGAATCACTACGTAATATCGTGTATTGATAAATTATAATTAGTTAGTTTATATTCTTGCCTTCCAGCTCACATCAATCACATAAGAGATGTTGCAGGTATTAATCACGTAGGAATTGGCGCCGGATATGACGGAATTAACTTGTAAGTATTTCACATCAATCATTTAAATTTGATTAAATTTAATGTTTCAGTTGCAACCAATCATTTATTATACATTCCTTTCGTAATTCCTCCCTGAGTTTATTCTGTCTCTGCTTATTATGTACCATTATTCCGTGTCCCCTTTTCCTTCCCTCTGTCCTGTCTGCTCGATCGTCGGGAGGATGCAGTTGAAAGCCGTCTATGTTCACCGCTGATTCGGCTTTAGCGAGTTGCATACATTCAAGTCTCGGCCAGGCATTAGTGGGGATGGCACCTTAAAGCATATCACAACCGGCTCCTTTCAAATCCTTACTTAATAATTAATTGTGATCATATTCCCGTATCTGACACTGTGCAAAACCACTTAAGATGAATCTAAGAATCGATTATTATTCTGACGTCCGTAAAATAAGGTATAAATCCTTTATCTTGGGTTGAAGTGCCCGTCAATACTGTTGTTCTGTGTTATAAACCACGATTGTCGATGTTTGGTTATTGGTAAATATCCTGAACACATGACAGTTTAGTTTATATATCAGTAATCGTGTGTCGTCTCTTGGCTTTGCAAAGTAAGTTAATGAAACTTCGTGGTGTCTGGTATTTCCTTCGGATTCATGACGTAAAATTTGGTAGACGAATTCAAGTTTTTTTCCTTTTTAACCACGAGATCAGCTTCAAGAACTTGAACTATTGACTCAACACTTTGGTGTTTTCTTCTCTCTGGGGAAATGGTCTTCTTCTCTATCACTGTTCGTCATCTCTCAAGTATAAACGAAAACACAGACGTAAATACATACTACGCCCTTAACTAAGGAAACTGATTCTAAAAAAAATGTTCCTTGTGACTCCTGACATTAATTTATCAATGGGCGAACTTCTGACTCGATTAACACAATAAAATATGTTACCATGTTTGGAAATATTGTTGTAAATTATATATTCAAAATAAGATTCCTTGACAGTAATTTTCATGTTTGGGAACGAAGAAAAGTAATGGGGCGAAATCTGAAAAGAAAGTTCTGTTGATGTTACAGCACTTGTGCGTATTTTGGTTAAAAAATATTTTACGAAAATGCCGTGTTGGAAGACACAATTTCAGAAAAGAGATCGGTGTCTCAGTTTTTGGTATTTGTAGTCGCGTGTGATGCTGTAAACAGTCCAGAACTTGAATGTGAAATGTTATTAGAGAAACGAATTGGAAATTGTAAGTTCCTTGAGCGTAATTTTAACATTAATTTTAAAAACTGTTGTGTTTTGTGGACTCTATATAGTATAAACCAGATTCTTAAGCTCCCGAAAAATCTGCCCGTAATAAAATATGTTGTTAAAACTTGTATATAGTGTTTTATTTTAAGTTTCTAAGTTCTTCTATGTCGCTGTGAGGTGAGTAATTCTGCGTGGTAACTGGGCCATTAACGGATCGTTTTCATCATTCGTATTATTACGTGTTTCTCACGGGATGTTTCGTCTAGTACAGAGGCTCCCAAACTTTTATACCTTGCGCCCCCCTTAAAACATTTCATAAATTTCACGCCTCCTTCCAGAACAAGTGCAAGCAAACAGATTTGACATAAAATTTAGCTATGAGTATACATTTTTTTATAATTTAGTATATATTATTCAATGCATTTAATTTAAAAAACTGTAATCAAATATACGCTTCATACCTGAATTAGTGGGATGGATGTGGTTGCTTCAGGGCATCAGGGCGATGAATCGCCCTGATGACGGAGGCAGTATGACCTCTGAAACGTTGGTAAACATCGACCAGACTACACAGCGCAACAACTCAGAAGACGGAAATCTTCATACTCACCGCTGTGAAAACCTAAAATCTTACAAATCTTATATAGTTAAGCAATGGAAATTTAGGTAATTAATTTGTGTGCTGACTCATCCCCGTCACGCAATCGAATCCTTCTCGATCCATAATTGTTATTATCTGCAATTGTAGTTATTTTGTGTTCTATTATTGGTGTGGCTGTCGTTAGTGTTTAAATTTTGTTTTTAGGGAGAACTTATTATGTACGGATTTTGTGTTCAGATTGTTAGACAAAAAATTAACATATAAAATTGTTCTTTTGGACTTTGTCTTTCGTAGAAATTGTGATAATACTACGTTTCTGAATCTTGATTCAAGCTGGAGAAGGGTGGAAAAGAACAACAAGCCTATCTGTTGGACCCCCTGGTTGAGCTAGGAGCAGGTCTGAGGCTAGCTCAACCAAAGAGCCAACCTCATAGGCTTTCTGTTCTTCTCACCACCTTTCTAACTTAAAATGGCCAGTTTCTGAAATATTCTAATTTTTTAATATCCATGACGGAAGATGTAAAAAAACAGTTTTATATATTATAATCCACAATCGTCAGAAACCTTTGGACTTCGACTTAAACTCAAAGAATCGCACAGCTTTTATGTTTGTAAACGACTTATTTCATAAATAACCTGGAGGTATGTTTGGCACAAAGCTTTGTACCAACTTCCAAAAAGTCTGCCTCCAGTGGTTCATTAGCTATTACCTTCAGACCGAAAGTTAGATGTAATTTTCCTGCACCCACCACAATCTGTGTAAAAATTGTCTTGACGGATGTTGCATATTCTTTGGAAGTCTTACCACATATGTAATTTCATGACTCTAATGCCACTAGTGTCGCTAGAACCTCACAAGTTCGTGTCTCGCAGTGGAGGGCCAACCGATGATGGTAGAAGCATTGTGAGGGCAGAAAATGAATTTCCACAGCCCTGATAGGATAGGCACAGAACTGAAAGACCGCGGTGGGGAACCGGAAGAGTATGGGGGCAGGGCCCAGCGAAGCATGTATCCTGTGGAAGTCCCTGGGTGATAAAGCCCCAGGGGTTAAATAGAAAGACGCCATTGTTACCATGTGCAGGGGTGGGGTGTCCCCAGGTGGTGCATCCGCCAGTTGAATATTCCTAGGGAAAACGCGACAGACAGAGAGGCATGAAGAACACTCAGATAAAGAGGACACTAAAATTGTCCGATATTTATAAAAATTGAAAGAGCTCGACAAACGTTTTGTAAAATTCCCCAATACCAGATATAATCAGAATAGATTTATCCGTTCTCGGGTTGTTTCATGGTTAAGGACAGACAGATGGACGAAACGAGAAACAGGCTCACCTAAAAGTGTGTCTTTTCTGAACGAGAAATCTACTTACCCACATTTTAGGAGTTATGTAGTCGACTTGGTGCTGCCAGATTAATCAGGCTGTCTCTGAGAATCGTGTGTCACTCAAACGATACGTTGTATTGTTTCCGAAACTTCAAGGCACAGATTTTCCAGAAGCAAGTGTCGAGGTGGAAGTTGTGTTGGGCTTGTTGCAGCACGCCGCAGGGGCTAGAAGACGTCTCCAAGTATCCACAGCTGATGGCAACTCTGCTGGAGGATCCATCTTGGAGAGAGGAGGACCTGAAAAAGCTCGCGGGCTTGAACCTGTTGCGGGTCTTCAGGGCCGTGGAAGAGGTGTGTTCTTGTTAAACTTGATCTTAGCTAACTCACTGTAGTTGCTGTCACCAAATAGCATGTTTCAGTGTCACAGTAAATCAAAGATTGTTATAGCAGAAACAACAGAGCACAGGTAAGCGAAGACAGCTCAGAACTCGGAGCGTAGCAACACCAACAACGCTGTACTGGTGACTTTATTTGAGCAGGGCAATGAAGGTTTGAAGATTTTATTATCCTCCCATCTGCGCCTAGATTTTCAGAGTGCTCTCTTCCCTTTAGGCTTTCAAACCAAAATTTTATACTCATTTCTTATCTCCCCCATAAGTGCCAGTCCCACATAATCCTCCTTGATTTTATCATACAATATTTGGTGAACGGTAAAAGTTTTAGAGTTCCTCATTGTGAATATTTCTCCAGCATGTTATTACTTCCTCCTCCTTGTGTGCAAATTCACCCCCCCCCCGTTGTAAAACACCCTCAGTATGTGTTTGTCTCACAACGTGTGACACCAAGTTGCAGATCCAAACGTGACCACGTTTCAGGTGAAATAGTTAAAAATAATTATTTTTATTATTAGCGTCTCAGTTATTTGTTTATATATTTTATGTATATTATTGTTAAAATGGTTATTTTATTTGCTGTACTCAAGTTGGACATGGCTTATTCTCTGATATATATTCAGTACCCACGACATTTCGTGAGTTCGTCGTACTGTCATCATAAGGTGATTCGGTCATTAGCGCATGAAAGGTAATGTTAAAAACCTTTTGTGTCGATTCTAACAGCTGAAATTTATGTCAAAAGTTTAAGGTTTATGTTAGTGTCATGTCAACTGTAGTACAGAGAATTCTGAATCTTCGTAAGTTTTCAATTTTCTCCGAACTGTAGACAATGTCCAAATTAACTGCAATGCAGTTCTCAGATATGTTAATTTTACAGTTCTTTATTATTTGTAAATTTTAATATGGTCGAGCCTTTTGTTTCTTATTAAAACGAATTTACATTCTGCAATTAGCGTAATGAAAACTCCCCGTTTTCCGTCTTGTATAAATGAAAATAACATTAAACCTTACATAAGAAATAGACTGTTGCAAGCAAGCTCATACAATTATTGCTATAACAGTGCACATTGGATAATGTGCCCAAGTATTTTCAAATGTCTGCTAAGTGACCTCTCATCCTCCGATTGGCCTAAAGTTTTTCTTAATTGTTGATACTGATTCATTGTTGGCAATTGAACAGTGATAGGGATAACAATGATGGTGTCTCCGACTTGTGGCGGTCGGGATTTCGAGGTCCAGTGATCTCAAGAGCTGTGTCGGTGGCATCGTGGCTACTGGTAGGGTCTCCGTAGCCGGACAGGTCAAGAGTGAGGTTTCATAGTAAGAGAGACACCCTAGTCCTCCGGGATGAGGGTTAGGCATTAGGCTCACAACCAAATCCCGTGAAAATAAAGTTCATTGAGGAGACAGTACGACTGAAATCCAAACCAGACGGATGTTTAATGGAGAGAAATTGTAGTGGAAGCCAAGGCTTGAGAAGAAGAAGAAGAAGATGGAATAGCAATACATAATTTGGGTTGCTGACAAAGCTGTCTTTACTAATGAAGTTACATCACTAAATAGAGGGTATTGTTCGGCGTATTTAATTAAAAATAAATGTCGAAATATTGTTTAAAAACTTGTAAGGCTTGATGAAATCTATCTTATATTTTGGTTGGCTAATTTTATCGTTGACCTCATATATATTATATCAGTTCTAGAAGCAACATCTTGGAGAATGCAAACTTAAAGCTGACAAAATTGTGTGAACAGTTGTAAAACAATGGTTGAAAGGACAGAACACAATGGGTAAAAAAATAGAAAATTCGTCTCACACTACCTAAATGTGTCGACCATCTTGGGGACTGAGTCAAAAAATAGTTTTGCGACTCGTAAAATGAAGCTAAATTGTCCATATGAGAGTTCATTGGACCACTTCAGGATCCATGTTTTTGTAAATTCAGTTTTACA